ACGGAAGAGAATATTGTGTACATAAATATATAAATACATAAATATGAAAATATAAAACAATCAACAATTAGAAACTAATATGTGCCAGGTTTGTGCATGGTATGAAATGAAGTACAATTTAGACGTGCAGAGACATTTGCATTATTTGAAAGGGGGAAGCGTCAGTGAGGGACCCGGGCCTTGTTAATGAGGCTAGCTGCAGACAGGAAGAAGCTGTATTTGTGGCGAGAGGTTTTGGTCCTGATGGACTGCAGCCTCTTGCCAGAGGGGAGAGTCTGAAACAGTTTGTGTCCTGGATGGGAGGGGTCAGCTGCAATCTTTCCTGCTTGCCTCAGAGTCCTGGGGTCGTACTAGTCCTGAAGTGATGGAAGATTGCAGCCAATCACCTTCTCTGCAGACCGAATGATACGCTGCAGCCTGCCTTTGCGTGGCAGATGGTGATGGAGGAGGTGAGGGTGGACTCGATGATGGCGGTGTAGAAGTGTACCATCATTGTCTTTGGTTTTCCAAAAAAACACACCTAAATAGCCTACACATCACACACAATTATTAAGAATAATTACAAAGAAATACATTAATACATTAATAAAGTGCTTACCCAACAATAGAAAGTGCCAGGTGCTATAGAGCTTAGTGTCGCTGCTCGGGGGGTCTTTCCCTCATAAATCCAGTGAGCTCCAGGGTAGAGTCTGCGTCTTGTCCAAAGTTCTCCTCCTGCGGAGTTCGGTCAGAATCTGCTTCACGACCATGTCGCTGTCTATGACAGTCTGGTGAATACTTATAGTGCATCTAGTTTTCCAAAGTTTTTGGCAGGCTGAACTTCTTCAGCTGCCACAGGAAGTACATCCTCTGCTCGGCCTTCTTGGTGAAGGAGGTGATGTTCAGCTCCCAGTGGTCCTGGGAGATGATGGTGCCCAGGAAGCGGAAGGAGTCCACAGTGGTGACTGATGAGTCACACAGGATGATGGAGGAGGGTGTGGCTGGGCTCTTTCTGAAGTCCACGACCATCTCCTCTGTCTTCAGAGCATTGAGCTCCAGACTGTTCTGGCCACACCAGGTCACCAGATGGTCGATCTCCCACCTGTAGGCGGAGTCATCCGCACCAGAGAAGAGCCCAATGAGGGTGGTGTCATTTGCAAACTTCAGGAGCTTGACGGACTGGTGACTGGAGGTGCAGCTGTTGGTGTACAGGGACAAGAGTAGAGGGGAAAGAATGCAGCCTTGAGGGGAACTGGTGCTGATGGTCCGGGAGTCAGAGACATGTATTCCCATCTTCAAGTGCTGCTTCCTGTCTGTGAGGAAGTCAGTGATCCACCTGCAGGTGGAGTCAAGCACAATCAGCTTGTCCTGCAGGCCGCGATGATGGTGTTGAAAGCAGAGCTGAAATACACAAACAGGATCCTGGCGTAGCTTACTGTGCTGTCCAGGTGCTGGAGGATGTAGTGAAGGGCCATATATGTATATATATATATATATATATATATATACATACAGGGGCCAGGGGCGTAGGTATAGACAGTGCAGCTGCACTAGGGCACGCACTGTACTAGGGGCCCTTGACAGGAGCGGCCCCGCCGAGTTACAAGGTGGTCTTTGTCATTTACAGGGTAAAAATGCATTGAGTTTCATCAATCAATCGTTAATCCGGAACACTGGTTTTCAGGACATGGTGTTGTTTTTAAGTTGGCCATAATGTCTCGCCTCTCTGTCGAAGAGGAACGTGGTTGTCGTGATTTAGGAGGTTATTGTCCTGAAGTTGCCTGAAAAAGTCTGCGTCTTTTCAGCACAGTGCACACCTCCTGCACTCAGCAGTTTGTAGGGACTTTTCAGGATTTTGACAATGACAGCACTGGCCATGCTCCTTTCACTTCTGTACTTTGCAAATACATAAGTCTAGGTGACACAGTCCGACTCTAAAATCCATCACATGATGGTAATTTACTTTAGACTGCTGCAGCAGCGTGTGTGTGTGTTGGAGAGAGACGCCCACAAAGACAACTGTTGAATTTAATGTGTTAATATGGAAAGAAATTAATTTAAAGAGCTTTAAATTAGGTATTTACTGCATCTAGTCTTATCAGTTGTTAAACCGTGGCAAAACGAGGAAATAAGGCACATACATCCTTCCCCTGTTTTTATCAGTCTCTATTTATCATTTCAATAAAAACACAATATTTATAGTTTCGATAAATCTTATAAGCTGTTGCTGTCATCTCTTCCTCATTTCTCACTATCTTACAATAAGTGAAACAGCGCCCCTCTAAATGCTACACGTTGGATGTGTGGTGAAATACTATATTGAACCACCGTAGACTGGCTATCTGACTACGCAAGGAGGCTAGGCAGAGTTGGCATCCCTTTGTGAAAAAAATTAAATGATTAACCAATCAGATGAGGCCATTGTCATGCCACTGCCTAACTGTGATTAGTCAGGATGATGCCAAGGGTAACTGTCTGGCTTCATGCCAATCAAATCACAGCATGTGATCAACATCATTCAGATGAAATAACGGGAGCTGTTAGCAGCTTTAGCTAGTGCAGTTATGGAGGGTGGAGATTTGGAGTTTTTAGTTATAATAAATAGTTTTACTAAACTAATACTACAGCTGTCCAGTCGGTGGTCAGACCGACTCCAGCTGTCTCTGTCTCGCCGGTGGTCCTCAGCCCAGCTGTCTCTGTCTCGCCGGTGGTCCTCAGCCCAGCTGCTCAGTCTGAGGCCATGGACTGCCTTGCCCTGCCTGTATTTGGCCCTTTGAGATATTTTGTTTGGTTTTTCTGGCCCTCTGCCGGGCCTCCCTCCGCCCACCCTGGGCCGGCTTGACCTGTTTGTTTTTTTTGTGGTGTTTCGTTTTAGGACGTCAGGGGCCATCCTTTTGAGGGGGGGGTACTGTCACACTCTGCCTGTCTGCCATGCCGTGTTTTGCACTTTTGTGTTTAGTTAGCGTTATTTTGGTCTGTTGGGTTTTGGGGGTCTGTCTTGTCTGTTGTCTAGTGTTCGGTAACCCTTGTCATGTCTGTTACCCCAATGATCCCTCTGCATGTCTGTCTCTGTTTTCCCCTGCTCTCTCTCCCTGCCTGTGCCTCGTTAGCCTCAAGTTTTTCACCTGTGTTTCTCCCGCCCTGCTCGTAAGTCACTGTGTGTATATATATATATATATATATATATATACCTGGTGTTTCTGTCTTGTCCTTGTCGGGTCATTGTTTATTTTCACCCAGTGTTTCAGTGTGTTGCCAGCCTACTCGTCGTGTCTCCCTGTTTCCCTGCTTATTTTGGATTTTGGATTCTGGATTTCTCTTTTGGATTACTTTGTTTTGGACTCTGTTTGATCAGCCACTCTTCCTGTAAGTGCGCTCGCCTTTTGTTGCCTTTGTTGATAAACCACCAGAACTATACCTGCTAGCCTATGTGTCCTGCGTTTGGGTCCTCCAACCTGCCTCCACAACACTAACCGTGACAGAATGACCCGACCACACATGGACCCAGCAGACGCAAAAATGGAGAGGGAGAGGTTCTTGGACGTTTTGGCCGAACTATGGACAATCTGGCAGTTCGCGTCAAGCCGCAAATCCCGACAAGCTGCCCTCGTTAAGGCTCACTGGGAGGTAGCCGCAAGGCCATGGCTGCGACGTCGACTGCCAAGGTGGGCCAAGAGTTTTGTGAACTCCAGCCCCCAGCCTGTTTCCTGGCCAGCTAGCGCTGCTAGCCCCCAGCCTGTTTTGTGGCCCGCTAGCGCTGCTAGCCGCCAGCCTGATCCCCGGCCTGCTAGTGCTGCTAGCCGCCAGCCTGATCCCCGGCCCGCTAGTGCTGCTAGCCGCCAGCCTGATCCCCGGCCCGCTAGTGCTACTAGCCGCCAGCCTGATCCCGGCCCGCTAGCGCTGCTTGCCGTCCGCCTGATCCCCAGCCCGCTAGCGCTGCTAGCAGCCAGCCTGCTCACCAGCCGACTCCTGTTCCGTCGTCGGTGGTCCGACCAACACCAGCTTCGTTGGTGGCCCAGCCGACTCCCATTCCTCATGCCCCGTCGGTGGTCCGACCGGCACCTGCTTCGCCAGTGGTCCAACCGATTTCTGGTCCCTCGTCGGTGGTCCGACCAACACCAGCTCCGTTGGTGGCCCAGCCGACTCCGGTTCCCTCGTCGGTGGTCCAACCGGCACCTGCTTCGCCGGTGGTCCGATCGACTCCTGTTCCCTCGTCGGTGGTCCGACCAACACCAGCTCCGTTGGTGGCCCAGCCAATTCCTGTTCCTCGTGCTCCGTCGGTGGTCCGACCGGCACCTGCTTCGCCGGTGGTCCGATCGACTCCTGTTCCCTCGTCGGTGGTCAGACCGACTCCAGCTCCTCGTGTCCGGGCCATGGTCCCCAGCCGAGCTGTCCAGTCGGTGGTCAGACCGACTCCAGCTCCTCGTGTCCGGTCTATGGTCCTCAGCCCAGCTGTCTCTGTCTCGCCGGTGGTCCTCAGCCCAGCTGCTCAGTCTGAGGCCATGGACTGCCTTGCCCTGCCTGTATTTGAGACTTTTTGTTTGGTTTTTCTGGCCCTCTGCCGGGCCTCCCTCCGCCCACCCTGGGCCGGCTTGACCTGTTTGGTTTTTTTGTGGTGTTTCGTTTTAGGACGTCAGGGGCCGTCCTTTTGAGGGGGGGTACTGTCACACTCTGCCTGTCTGCCATGCCGTGTTTTGCACTTTTGTGTTTAGTTAGCGTTATTTTGGTCTGTTGGGTTTTGGGGGTCTGTCTTGTCTGTCGTCTAGTGTTCGGTAACCCTTGTCATGTTACCCCAGTGATCCCTCTGCATGTCTGTCTCTGTTTTCCCCTGCTCTCTCTCCCTGCCTGTGCCTCGTTAGCCTCATGTCTTTCACCTGTGTTGCTCCCGCCCTGCTCTCCTATCAGAGACCAGCTCAAAAGAAACTGGTTTTGGATCAGATGGTGAGAAATGAGACGCCATTCAAACCTTGTGTCAGCGCCCTGGTGTGCACCTTCCTTATCAGAGGAAGGAGGGAGACTTATTGGGCTTTTCGCCATAATTGACAAGTGATTGGCAAAAATTATCAACCAAGCCATCGTAGAGTCAGCATACAAAAAATGTTGTTAGTAGCTGTAACTAATGCAGTAAATAATGTGCAAGACATTTCAGACATGTTAAGGGTTTCTCTGTCTCCTGGCAACGACAGGGTCATCAGAATGAGGAAACTCATTGTTCGTGAAATCAGCACGACTACTGAATTCAAACAGGGCAGGACAAAGGAAACAAGAGGAGCTGATGGCAATGTGTGAGAAGAACGCTGTGTGCTACAGTGCACATAAAGTAAGGTAATTGCTCTAGACCAAGGGCACTTGAGTGCACTGTTTCCTCTAGGATTTTTTCAGCAGTTGCGGCAGGCCAACCCCTGTAATGTTCTGTAGCAGCGGAGGCAATAATTTTGCAGCGGAAACCCTACTGCTACTTCAGTAGAAAGGTGAAGCAGAGGCATAATACTATAACAAATGTTATACAATACAAGAAGGTAACAAATTGGCTTAAATCAACATGTAACCAATGTGGTTAAATATTCTCAACATTCCTGATCATCTACCCCAAGGAGGTTGATCTCCTTCCTTCAGTACACCACTACAATATGCTTGAAACAAAGACATGTCATTTATTACTGTAGACATTACAGGCTTAATCTGTAACTTGCACACCTGCACTTTATCTTACTTTGCAGTTTGTTTGGCTCTGTATCTGGAGGATCTTAATCTTCTGCATTTCAAGATAAAAGAAAAGCTTCTGTCTTTGATCTGCTGTTGTTTTTCATTTTTAATTGGTATATTTATTTTCTATACTCCTACTCCTACTTATTTAATTTATAATTTGTACTGCCTGCTTATAGTGTTTGACTATAGATTGTTGGTATGGCCTATATAGTTAATGTCTGACTTCTAACTAAATTACCTTCAGGATAATAAATACAAATTGAAGTTGAATTTGCATATGCAAGAAAAGGTATTTTAAAGAAGTTATAATTACGTTTATGTTAATATTGGATCACAAGACTATTTCTATGTGAATGGGGTCGGTCATATTGATGAAGCCACAGAGAATTAGCAGTAGCATTAGTCCCCCTCTATGAAGATTTCTATAAACTTTCAGGTCATTGTTTTCATTTTTCAGCTGTTTTGGTTTGTTATCACTGCTCTCATAGTTTCATTTTCAGCCGCAGCAGTGAAAAGTTCTAAAAACCTACTGTATGCTACCTGCCCGGTGCCAAACTGCAAAAAGAAAGTTAGCTACTAGCTGCTGAACACAGTAGAGCATTTAGCAACTAAAGAGCCAGATATTTCCCTTAGGAGCTGGTGGAGACATTACATTTGTCAGGTGGCCAAACAATACAACTCCAAAACGGAATGGTAATGTTGCTCTTTGTTTGTGTATGTGTAAATAAGTAACTGTATCCTCACAAATGATTTATCAATGTTAAGTTTACAGCTAATATTTGTTGCCTCACAGTGGCCAGAAAATCAGTTAATGAGAGTTTAAAGGGGATAAATAAAACCACAGGTTTGGCACTCTGTCTCTTTGTTGCCCTTTGGGAGTTTAATTGCTCTCCTTATAAATTGCTCATTTCCAACTAAAGACAACTTTATACAGACTGGTTGATTTAAATGGTCTAATCTCCTTGACACAATAGTTAATACAGGAAATGGCGGCAAAAGCTATTATAAGTCATGTACTAACTGGCATCATTTTAAAAATATTGGCAGAGTGGCTATCTACACAGTTGAATCCTCTTGTAAGCAAAGAACTAGCTGAGTATATGGAAAAGTAAGGCAATGCCTTTTTGTCATCCTCTAGCTTCTTTACAACATATTTGTCTTCTTCTTGACAATATATTGCACATACTATAGACTCTAGTCAGATCTATGACTTGACTGTCTTCCTCTCCTCGCCTACACTCTCTCTCTCTATCTCTAATATGTGTTACTTCTGGTGGCTGTGGTGTGCTGGCTGGTATTGGACACAGCCCAGTGAGGGACCAGACCACTTGTGTCTTCGTTAGGTTTGCTGCTCTTAATCTTCTTAATGCTGCTGTTCTCTAAACATCCATTCAGGGTAAGGGATGCACATTTATACACACTCATAAACACACACACACACACACTCCAAAAAACTAATTTGTGACCATGCATGTACATAAGTATTGTTTATGTGCGTTGCAGTGGCAAACTTTGCTATGGGTGGGGTTGGGCTACAGTTTGTCTTTGGTCTGCTGAGTCTCAGGGCCACAATCGTTTGTCATTTGTGCATTGTGTTGTGCAATGTCGTTTGCAAGTTGTGGAAGTGGGAGGATAAAGTGCCTGGATGGAACTATTTAAAGCCAAATAAATTATTTCAAACCATTTATTTTTAAAGCACCTTTCATATAAGTAGTTGTCATAGGAACGTCTCCTGCAGAATTGATGGCTGCAGCTGGAAATATATTGTTGGGACAGATGAACAACTGTCTGTTACAAACAATTATATTAAATGGTTAATTGGTCAAAAAACTTGAGGGGGTTATTTAGTGTAAACTTCAAAACATAACAGACTCTTGACTTATCTTGACACTTACTTGAAAGTGCACACAAGACTTTAACAGCTCTGTCAAGACTTGAATGGTTGTCTTTATGTGTCTCTCCTTTGAGGTTGAGGCAACACGCTTCTTGACAGCATCAGTGATGTCCACTCCAGCCTCCCTGGCCATTGCCAAGACATTCTGGCCTGAAATGGAGACCCCACGTTTAACAGCCAGTCATGACTTCAACCTGGGCCACGGGTAGGACACAAACACAAAAACAATTCAAACAGGAGATCTGTTTGTCTTCTGCCAGATGTCTTCGGGTCCTCTTGCACATGCTTAATTCTTCAATAAAACACTTGAGTCAAATAGATTTCAATACGATTTAAATTTACTTTAAATTCCACATAGAGAAGATTTGAGCCCAGCTGGACCTAGGGAGCACCTGATCAAGCTCCACTGTGCATTCACTTACATACACCTTCTGCTTCAGGCAAATGCCTGCACCTTTAGCAACACAACATACTTTTTATAATGGCTAAACCTGATTCTCTATATATAAATGATGATCAACAAGAAAATATTTCACACAACAGTGGTTTGTTATGTACATTGATCTAAGATGAACGCGATGATCTACAAAACTACAGTACCAACCACACTATCAACACCAGTATGCTGATGACACTGTGCTATTTTGATAAGATTCTGTTCAGAGGTTATATAACCATTCTAATGTTGCCTGAATTTCTTAGACAAGCACAATGCCTGATGCCTGATCATACTGATCTACAGGTACAAATAATAAGCCAGGAAACACAGAAATGTGCCAACAAAGGCAGGGCAGGTAAATACTGCTAGCAAGTAAACATAGATCTAAACAATGCAGGTTTTATACTTCGGCTCTCTAATGTGAGAAATGCTTTTATGTCTTAAAAACAATCTGTTGTTTACTTTATGGTCAGATTACAATTTCCCACTCTCTCCTGGTACCTGGTCTCTGGTCAATGAAGACTTAAGAGCATTGCTTACATACCAAGTGTGAAACAGACTGACAATGGCATATCATGTGAAATTATAACTTTTGGTGGAAAATGTAGAATTGGCTTAGAATAACTGCATATGCCTGAACACAGAATCTTCCAAATGTAATCTACTCGTGTTTTTGCCTTAGAAAACATGTAGAGATCCAAGTACAGTATAATGTAATGCAGACATCAAAGTCAAAGTGTGTTTGAAACTCACATTTTTCACATTCTGTTTACTCCTTGAAACCATTGCAACCTATGCTTTGTGTGGATTTTCCAACTTTGCTTCTTTGTGCATGTCGCTGGATCGCTGTGTGAGTGCCACCTCATGAGATGTTAGTAAGGCTGAGTAACAACACCAAACTGACCAACAGGAAAATTAAAGATCAGAAAGTTACTGGCTGGTTGGTACTCAAAAGTATTCCTAATTGAGTAAACATCATTTATATTCAGTGGTCCGATGTCCACAGCTTGAAACAAAGCACACAACACTGTATACAATATCTGCCACACATACACTGTATAAATGTACAGGATGAAAACTCAAAAGAGGCTTTTTTTGGCTGGCACGAGTGGGAGTATGTGGTGAGGAATATGTTAAATTTAAGCAAGTTACAGTGTGTGGGCTGAATGAGAAGTTACGTCTGTTTCATCTAGCCTGTGGCTGCCTTATAGCCTGGGAAACAAAAGGAAATAGATATCCAGCCATATTTCTCAAACACAAATAACATTAGGGCAAAGTAGGTCCAGAAGGTGACCAGGTGATTGGTGATGAAGACAGAACTCCTCTGGAGTCCGATGGTGTAGGTGGAGCCTCTATGAATGACAGCAACAAAAGCACTTCCCCTCAAGAGGCCAGTTCCCTTCAGGAGGCCGGTGTCGGGTCGGAAATAAGGACCGGCCGGGTCAGTGGAAGACCTGGTCCCTACCCCAACCAACGTATTAAACTCAATAAAATTAGCTTTCTTCTTTAGTCAAAAACTGCATAGTCAAAGACTTCACTGGAGACGGTCAAGAGTTGGTGCAAAAGAGTTTATTCCAATAAAGGACAAGTAAACCCGAGTAACATCCCTGCAGGTCTTAGGATGGAACTGAGCTGGTGGTCAGCGAACGTTGCCTTATATTCACCTTAAACTCCACCTTTTAGGTGGGCGTTACACCTTATCTCCTCCTTCCAGGTGGGCGTTACACCTTAACTCCACCTACAGTGTTCGCTGACCACTCCCTTCAATTGGTGAATTTCTTATCCTCTGCTGTCATCTAGTGGCCGTTTTTACGTACTGTTTTACCAATTTAACCCTTTTACTAATGTCACAATTACAATTACTGTTATTTAGCATAATTATTGTTACAATTTATCCTTCTTTATATTTTTGACATTACTGGACTAGAAATTCACCAATATGTTTCAACTTCAGTCTCACTGTATTTTTTTTTAAAGTTATACAGGCATAATTTGACACCATTAAAACTTAAACACTTACAATTGTATTTTTAAAAGAATTAATAAGGAATAACATACTTGATAAATGCATAACATGATTCAATAAGGAATAACATGATTCAACAATGCCAACCAGTGTGTGTGTCTCATACAAAGTTTAGTTTCTGCAGTGCAAAGCTTGGTTTCTTGCAGTACCTGGCCGTACCTTGCAGTACCAGGCGCCATTAATCACAATGTGTCATGATCTCATTCTTGGCCACAGTTTGCCATGATCTCAGGCCTGGCGTACGTGACTTACAGCAGGTGCCTTACTACCATTGTGTATGTTACGGTTGGCTAGGTTTTGCCTGTGCTGCCTGAGCAGCTGCTCTGCTCATGTTGGCACATTGAAAAGGCACAGGTTCATGAATAACACACAGAATTTAAGAATAAAATACTAGTTGGTAAACACTTGTTAAAAATTTAGTAGTCAAACTTTACATTGAAAGAATAACAGCAGTGGTCAACACCTTTACCCAGCGAGACCACAGTCATTCTCCCAATGGCTACACTACAAACACTTCTGAGTAATACTTCTGAGTAATACAACACTAGTACAGCATGGTGAGTTTTTAGATAAACTACAGCAAACCAACAAAGTGAACAAACATGTCAATTTATGTCAACTTAAGAAACAACAAGGAATTATTCAACACCGGCGACAAAGGTGGAATCCCTCTGAAGGTTGGGCTGGATACCAACACCAGCAGTGAAGGTGGAACTGCTCTGGAAGCCAGGAACCAAGGCTGAACCCCTCCAGAAGGCAGCAGCTAATACGAATCCCTCTATAGACTATATATAAGAAGTGGACGTCGTCATCATGACGTCAACCAGCAACACTGGGCGTGACAATATTTGGACGAGACGGTGGAGCTAACGGCTGTGTGTGGAGCTAGCTAGCTTGCTTAGTTAGGTGCATCTGTAATCCACCTTAAGTGTCCTTTTAACCGGGATAATAATATTGTCTAGCGAACAACAGGCTTAAAACTAAATGTACTCAGCAGAGAAAGTGAACAGCCAACTCCTAACAAGCTTTTTCAACGCAAAATATAATTAATAAATTCATCTGAAACTGTTTCTGCTGCGTCCATGATGTCCAATTTGTTTTCTTATAGTATGTTAAATGAGAAAAGGGGAACCCAAAGGGTGGACCCAGACACATACACAAAAGCACAGAATAAAAGATCACTGGCTTACAGCAAGCTGAGGCAGGCAAAGATCCAAACCAGGCAGACAGCAGAAAGCAACAAATCCAAAAGGAAGCAGTCAATAAACCTAATCCAAAAGATCCAGCATCAACAACACAGAACACAGAGCAGGCGTGGCCAAAATAATACAAATGCAAACAGACTAGACCAGGATCACAAACTCTGGGAAAGGGCAGAAACACTTGAAGACGAAGACGAATTAGAAACAGACAAGAGGAGCACATGAACTAAATACACTACTGAGGGGAGGATAACTAGATACAGGTGAAACTAAACAGGGCAGGCAGACAATCACACAGGTGGAAAAACATACAATGACAGGAAGTAACCCAAGATACATGACATGATAAAATTGTGAAAAAAAGACTGTGTGATGGTTACTTTTCTTGCTGTTTATTGTCTGAACATCATTGTTACATAGCTGTTAAAGTTTTGTTTTGTCAGGATTGGCTGTGCGCTCAGACAGATTAGGTTGTAGGGCCTAAATGCAGACACGATACCAGGAGGCTGAGTGTTAAGGTACCAGGGTGAACACACTTATGGTGAAAGCAAAGTCCAAAATAAGAATCCATTAAAGTCAACAGAGAGTAGTTCACCAGCAAAGAGAGAAACAACAATCCAAAATTAGATCCGACAAGGACTGAACAAAACATCAGGAAATTTACACAGAGGAAATGAGAAGGAAGGGAATGAACAGGTGAGACGCATAAGGGGTATTCAAGGCTAAACGGGAAGCAAAACTAGACTAAGATCATGGCATGGTTTAATTTTTTGTCTTTCAACATATATTTATGATATTTCCAGCGCCGTTAGCTCCAGGCAGACTGACCGAGATCTCCTGTTGTGGCCTCAGAAGTCTGATTGCAGGCAATGTCTCGTGGTTCATGGCAGCTCGTGTTGCAGGTGACTGTTTCTTTGTTACCTGTTACCTCTATCTGTCATTTATCCACATAGTGAATGTACACTCAGTCAAACTTTAGGGTTCTCATCCTGATTGCACCTTGCAGAAACATAAAATTATATGTCCATTGTTGCCAAAAATTTGAAAAATCCAGTATCCACTTTAAACAGAGGCTCTGGCCGAGGGGCTTCCTGACCTCTTGGGCCCCTGGGTCGTGGTCCATTCAGTAATCCATCCATGCATAAAACATGACTTATATTCAAAACAATATTATATTATGTAAATATTATTTAAGATGTTGTGTCCATTTAAGTAAATTAGTGCATATTTCTCCCAAACTGACAGATATGTATTGGGTTTTAAGTGAGAGTGCATTAATTTTATGACAAAAGCCAGAAAGGGAGCAGATTTCTCAGATAAGATTTTAATGACAATTTTTAAAGCACATTGATGACATGGACATTCACCCCCATAAGTCATATAAATTTCACAGCCACACTAGTTGCTAGCCTGGTAAACATATACGGTACAGTATATTGTTCTATCACTCACAAATGTTCATGTTGATTTTGTCCTTTCACCAACTTTATTTGTAACAGCTACATATGAGTTAATGTAGGTCATTAATCACAATTATAAATTTGTTTATTTTAAAACTTGAGTCAAAGCCACAAACACACCATTCTTAAAAAACTAAAGCAGTTAAATGGTTTATTTTTTCACAGCATTAAGTAACTGGTCACAATAATTGAT